AGTCAGGCCCAGGCATCCTTTTGTGCTTGCTTCTGATATCCCTGGGCCAGAGCTCCCACTGCTACGTCAAAGAGTCCTCTCTCACAAAAGGAGGGGGTGACGTCCACAGGGTGAGTAGCAGCCCTCTGGGGCAACTGCCAAGTGTAGTGTCCTAGCATGTGGCCATGGGCTTCTTCCTCAAAGAAGGCAACACGTCCTCCAGTACCTGCTGTGAGCTGCGCTGGTGTTGATTCCGACTCACCGAGACCTCACATCAGAGTAGAACCTCCCCAGCCAAGGTCTGAGTTAACACCCAGTGCACTGCCATTGAGTCGCTTCTGGAGAGACAGAGACTCCAAAACAGAGGAGCACTGCCCCATAGGATTTCCAAGGCTGTAACCTTTACAGAAGCAGACTCCCTCATCGTTCTCCCTCAAAGTCACTGGTGGGTTCAAACCCTTGACCTTTCGGTTCACGGTCGAGCACTTTAACCACTGCGCCACCAGGGCGCCTTTGAGTTAGCAGTTGATTATAAAGCACTGTGCCCCCAGGGCTTCTTGGTACAATGTTCTGCGTTTCTCTCCTCCCTGGGGGAGCCCCTACAGGCCCCTGCACCCCAGGAGCAGCCCAGGGGGCCCAGAGGGTAGCAGTGCCTCGGTGCCTCCCAGCGAGCAGGCTCTAGAGTGAATACGTCACAGGAATCACAGGAGTGGGTCTCTTGTGACCCCACCACACACCCCTCCACGAACCCAAATTAGCTGGTTTTCCTAAGTCCCCACTTGGCAGGCCCTTGGCTGGCCCTTCTACCGAGGGTAGAAGACTGTCAGGGACCGCCCTAGGCCTTCGACGGTTTCTCTGTGGCTTGGGTCCTCCCCGGTGAACACTTTGGTCAGCCCACCTCTGAAACCTCCCTTGCATCCCTCTTGTTTTGTTCTAATTCTTTATGTCCTGCTGATAAACCAGCCTAATGCCATTGCACCTCGAGCCCATATCTGCCTCTCCAGCCTGCAGCTGAAGGCCTCCCCATCTCACTCTCTTCTCTGAACTCAAGCACTTAACCTTTCCTGTCCTCTCCTAGCAAACAATGTGGCCCCCAAAACTCCACTTTACTCTGATAACTCTCTTCCTTATAAACTTAGATTCTACATTGTGATCCCCAACAGCCACTGGGGATTGGCTTCTCCGATGTCCACGTTGGGTGCAGTGGCATGGAAGGGATCCAACTTGGCGGCGGGCTGGGCGGACAGGAGGGTGTCAGACCTGCTCAGGGGGGGGTTGGGCTTCGTCTTCCCTTTTCCAGGACCCTCCCTCCCCACAGCTGCCCCCAGGGGCTGTGGTTTCATGTTCAGCAGGGAATAGTTCCACTCCCAAACACATGGGGTCACCATGCATCAGAACCAACCTTATGGTGGCAAACAAGGATGAACAGGGAACCCACGGCAGTTTGCTATCCCGGGGGTGGGGCGGGGCTGTGACAGGCCCATATGCCCCTAGAGGGGTCAGGACATCAAGTGGGCCAGAAAGTCCAGCAAGAGTGTGCCACCAGAGCACAGGCAAGGGAAGATGGGTGTGGGCCACAGCAAAGAGACTGACAGGAGCCACCCCCTGTCTCTGCAGCCCCCACGCCCCCGGTGGATGGAGTGCCTGGAGAAAACTAGAACCTTCTTCGAGCCCACTCTAGCGGCCTTGTTTGTCCATGAGGCCTTCAACAAGGACACCCAAAAAGCCGTATGTGGGTCCCTCATGGCCGCCCGAACCCACCCCTCCTCCTCTGTCACCTTTGTCCTGGCCAACAAAGCTGGAGGGGGTCAGGAGAGACTATCAGTGAGGTAGAGACCAGGCCTGGGTGTGTGACAAGGTGGAGCCATGTGGTGGCCCTCGGCTGGCACACACAGGCAGGTCAGCCATGGGCTCACATCCACTCACATGAGGACTGGGCTGAACGACCACCTCTTGCTCTGAGTCCTCCACCTACAGTGAGACCCTGAGCCCCAAGACGCCAAGGTGCCCAGTCCCAGCCCTAACGGACTGTTTGTGATGTTTTCACCACACATGAAATGAGGTGCAAGTGACATGGTAGCGAGCTTTAGACATGGTAATGCATAACTACCCCTCTGTGAAGGCCTGTCCATCCACATGCCCTGTCAACACTTTGCACAGACCATTTCATGCGACACCAGGCGTGCGTGTTAGGTCCTCATCCTGACTTCAGAGCAGAGACTTGGGCACAATGAGGTGAAGTCCGTTGACCAGGCCACACAGCTCCCGAGGAGCAGCCAGGGCGGCCCTGGCCGAGCCCAGCCCTTCCTCCCACAGCACACTCACTTTGCTGTCCCGAGGGCGCACAGGCACCGGTGGGTGGCAGGAGACATAGGCACATGGAGAGGGCTGAGGAGGGGACTGTGGCACACTGGGGCGCTGAGGGGACAGGACCAGGAAGACCAAGAGGGCGACGCAGGACCAGGCCCCAGGGCGGAGGGGTGGTGGCGGCGCTCCCCTCCCCCGCTTCCTCAGGACTCAGTCTGGGCCTGAGGGTAAGGTTAGCGCTCCACCCCCTCCAGCTGAGGTCTCCCTGTGTGACTTCCTTGGGGACCCACGAGGCAGTCAGCCCCATCTTCCCTTCCACATGCTCCCCCCACCCAGGAAAAATTCCCCCTCCTCCTGAGGCCTTGGGAGGTGGATCCGGTACCCTCTCTTGCCTGCAGGCCATGGAACTCTTCTCGGACATCAAGGACACCCTCCTGGCCCGCCTACAAAGGCTCCCCTGGATGAATGAGGAGGCCAGGAATGAGGCCCAGGACCGGGTAGGCCGAGCAGAAAGGCGGGGAAATCAGGTGTGGAGGGTGGGGTTAGAAGGGACCTGGTGAACTCTGAGGGGCAGGAGATGGGTGGCAGGTGCATAGGGGACATGGCAAGGTACAAGCAGTGCGTTGCAAAGCATTTGGGGACAGTGTCCAGGGCTGATGTGGGGGTGGGGATGGGGGTTCCCTCCAAAGTCAGGGCAGCTATCTCCTGTCACCTATACCTCTCCAGGTCACCCGGCTGCAGGTGAAGATGGGAGCCCCAGAGTGGGCCCTGGAGGCGGAGCAGGCCGCACAGGGTTACCCAGAGGTGAGTCCACCATCATCCCCTGAGCTGCCTGCATCCTCTGGGTTTCCGGGGTGATCAGACTAACTCCTCCTTACCCCGGATGTTGTGGGGAGCGCCCACCCAGGGGGCGCTCTCTGGGCCACTGTGTGTATGCGAGTGTGTGACTGCATGTGCACACACCCATGCTTGCACGTGTGCGTCCCGGGACGTGCCCTTGTGCTGACAGGTGTGGGCGCCACCTGTGGGCGCCACCTGCTCATCCCGGCACTTGCTGCTCGCTGGCCGGCGGAGGCCGCTCTGTGCCGGTGCACCGCGGTGTTGCAGCGCCATCTTGGCTCATCCGTGGGCTCCGCGGTGCCAGGGCCCACCCGTGTGCCTTCAGCTGTCCCCGTGTGTACTCCAGGTGCGGCTGGGCCCCAGCTTCCTGCAGTCGGTCCTGAGCTGTGTCCGAGACTTCAGAGCAAGGGTGGTCCGGAGCTTCCTGCAGCCGGTGCCCCACCACAGGTGCGAGGATGGGAAGCCCGAATCCGGGTCCAGAGGTGCCGCGCAGGGGCAGTAGGCGCGGGCGTGGGGCAGGGGGCTGCGGAGGGGTCGGGTCTGGCCAGTGCTCACAGCGCCTTCCCTGCAGGTGGCGCGTGCCCGCCTGGGGCGTCAGCGCTTACTACTCCCCCTCGGACCACGTGATGGTCTTCCCCGCTGGGCTTCTGCAGCCTCCCTTCCTCCACCCCGGGTACCCCAGGTACGGTGCCGTGCGAGGGGGCAGGGGCTGGGCCTGAGGCGGGAGGCCTGGGTCCCCAGTGGGGCATCCTGATGAGACCTGCCTTGTCCCCCAGGGCTGTGAACTACGGCGCGGCGGGCAGCATCATGGCCCACGAACTCCTGCGCCTCTTCGACCAGCTCTGTAGGTCCCAGACCTGCGGTGGGGGTGGGGCTGGGGGGGGACAGTGAAGGGGGCCTGGGAGGGGCCTCTGGGGACCGAGGGGCAGTCCTGGAAGGGCTCAGTGCCCCGGGCTCCCTGCCCCATCTACACCTCTGCCCCGTCCCCATTTACCACCCCTGCTCAACTCTGCCCCACCCCTCCCCATTTCCCTGCCCCGTCCCACCTTGCCTCACCCCTGCATCCATCTCTCTCCTGACCCAATCTCCAACAGTGCTCCCTGGGGGCTGTCGGGCTTGTGACTGTGACACCTGCGGCCTGCAGCGGGCACTTCTGTGTCTGGAGCGCCACTATGCAGCCCTCCCCCTGCCGGGGGGTACCTCCTTCAACAGCTCCCACATGCTCCTGGAGAATGTGGCCGACGTGGGGGCACTGGCCATCGCTCTGCAGGTGACTGGCCCACGACCCAGCATCCTTTCACCAGGAGATGGAAGACCTGTCCCCAAATAGCTTTCTGCCCATCACAGCCCCGCTGTACAGACGGCCTCGGGGAGCCCCCTCCTGCCTGCTGTTCCCTTCTCTGGCTTGGATGAGTGCAAAGCTTGGGGGGAGGCTGGGTGTTCATGGGGGCGGGGTGCGAAGCCATGGGCCTGGGCCTGAGGGCGGCTGTCCCCCACATGCAGGCTTACAGGAGGAGGCTTCTCTGGCACAGGGGAGAGACCACCCTGCCCCGCCTTGGCCTTAGTCCGCAGCAGCTCTTCTTCCAAAGCCATGCCCAGGTAAGCGGAAACCCAAACAAAAGTCCAGGCGACTCACAGCAACCCCTCCTTGGGTTTCCTAGGCAGGATCTCTGCAGAACTTGCCCAGTCTTCCTTCCGAGGAGTGGCAGGCCAGGCCCTATTGCAGAAGCTCCGGGGATCGAGGGACCGTTCCTTCTGGAAACACCCCCCAAGTGCCCCAGCCCTCCATCACAGATCTGGCCCTGCTGCCCTCTCAGGCGCCCCCTTGAGCCATCCTTTCAGGACACCATGAAGCTCTACCAAATCCCGTCCTCCACAAAGAAGAAAACCGGACTCTTCCTTCCAGGGTGCTCCTTGAGATGAGCTGGTCTCTTTCTTGTCTCCTGCCTCAGAGACACAGATCCCTTCCCAAGGGATCTCTGACAGACTGTCGCACACCACACCCCTCCTCCACGGCCTCACCCCACCTGTGGCCCCAACTGGATCGAACCAAGCCAGTTGCTGTAGTCAGCTCTGACTCGTGGTGCCTCCATGAGGTCAGGGTAGAACTGTGTTCCGTGGGGTTTTCAGCGAAGGATTTTTCAGAAGCAGCTCTCTAGGCAAGGAGCCTTGGTGGCCCAGTGGTTCAGCTGCGAACGGAAATGTCAGTGGTTCAATCCCCCAGCTGCCCCACTGGAGAAAGATGAGGCAGTCTGCTTCTGTGAAGACTGACAGCCTTGGAGACCCTGTGGGCAGTTCCACTCTGTCCTCTAGGGGCGCTGTGGGTCGGAATCGACTCCACGGCAGTGGGTGTGGTTTGGGCTCTGCTTCTGTGAAGATTGACAGCCTTGGAGACCCTGTGGGGCAGTTCCACTCTGTCCTCTAGGGGCGCTGTGGGTCGGAATCGACTCCACGGCAGTGGGTGTGGTTGGTTTGGTTTAGATCTCTAGACCTTTTTTCTCAAGTGCCTCTGGGTGGACTTGAATGCCAGTCTTTCATTTAGCAGCTGAGGGCCTTAACCACTTGTACCATCCAGGCCCAACCTGATCAAACCAAAGAAACCAAATCCTCCACCATCAAGTCGATTCTGACTCGTGGCGCCCCTAGAGGACAGAGTGGAACTGCCCCACAGGGTCTCCAAGGCTGTCAATCTTCACAGAAGCACCCAGCCTCTCCCCAAGCATCTATCTTCTATGGAGCGGCTGCTGGGTTCAAACAGTGAACCTTTTGGTTAGCAGCCCAGTGCTTTAACCATAGCACTCCCAGAGCTCCTCCTCCCTTAAATACCTTGAGGCCCCCTCACCTGTCACTGCTCCCAACTCCTCAGTACACAAGAAGCCCCCATACAGAGTTCTTCCCATAGCATCCCCTTCCTCTCACTTATAAGGGGTGTACCACACACCTGGGCCCTCCTCCAGCCCGCCTGCTCCACTGAGTGGGTTACAAATGGTTAATCCCCCTCCTCCGTTCTGGCCCTTGACTCTTGCCATTCCTGCATCACCAGTGCAAGGTCACCTTGCACCATGACCTGTGGCTCTCCTCATGTGTGCACCCTCTCCACTTTCCTAGATGATGTGCAAGGAACCCTGGTCCCAGGGCCCACAGGGCCAGCACAGCCCCCCCCAGCTGCGAGTCCACGGGCCACTCAGCAACACCCCAGCCTTCGCCAGGCACTTCCACTGTCCACAAGGAACCCTCATGAACCCCACCAGCCGCTGTCAGCTCTGGTAATCTGGCTGCCCAAGACCCCAGGACAGAGCGCCAACATCCCTGACCCTGTCCACAGGGGCAGGACTCGGCCCTGCACTTCAGAAATTAAAGGTAGCCGGGCCCTGCCTGCCTGGCAGTGGTGCATGACTGCTGCTGTCCTGAAGCTAAAACAGCAGACGTGGGCGAGGGGAACCCCGAGCAGGGTTCGCACACACAAGGGAAGGGAAGAAGTGATGTCTGGGACCCCAAGGACCTGAAGGCTAGGCAGCCGGGTGGGCAGTAAGTGACTGGTTGGGGACACATGGACTCTGGTTAAGTCTCAGCAAGCAGGCTCCAACTGTGGTTGGGGTTTTATTGTAACTGCTCTGACTGTTGCTGTGTCCCCAGTCTGCTGTCCTGAGCAGAACCACATGGGGCAAGGGCGTGGGCCTGGGGCTCCGGCCCTGGGAGGTAAAGCTCAGAGCGTGGGAGGCGGTGGGGCCAGGTGACTGCAGCGGAAAAAGGGCCCCAGAATGACAGCTGCCACAGAGGCGCGACGGTCAGTAGGAGATCATGAATTGGAGGTAGAGATCCAAGTTCTCGTCCAGGAGCCAGGCCAGGACCTCGGCCTCGATATCCCTCATAAAAAAACCATGATGCTGGCCAGGTTCACACAGAAGGCCAGGCTGAAGAGGTGGACGCGTGCCACCACCGTGCCCGCCATCTCGTCCTCCTGCTGGGCCATGTCTAGCAGCTGCCACATCTCCCCCATCGAGGAGGCCACAAACCGCTCTTCAAACTGCTCTTCACCCTGGTCTGGGCAGGGCGACACGAGAATGTGAGGAAACTGGGGCTTTCATGCCAATGACCGGTCCTTGGCCCTTCTGACCTGACTTCCAGCACTGGCTGGACTCCAGTCATGCCCACCCCTTTCTGACTCCACCTTCCCTGCCAGATGACACTCCTTGTAGGATGATGGCCTCCCCAGACAAAGGTACCTGCACTCCAACCACACACACACACACACACACACACACACACACAAGCAGCATTTGACCTCAGCCTGGCCAGGAATCCGGCTCCAGACCCACAGGCCTCTGACAGGGACCTTGGCTGTCTCCCATCCTCCAAACCCCAGGGTTCACCTCACACAGTAGGTCCCACTCCCTCCTCCCCTACCCACCTGTGGAGGGCAGGGTCTCTTTCTGGCTGCTCTTGGTGGGGTCTGGACCCCCCTTCTGCGGCCTCACCCCCTTCACCCGAAGCAGCAGCATCAGGATGGTAGCCAGGAGCACAGCCCTGTGGAGCTGGGGGCTTAGGGGCATCATAGGCCTGCCTGCCTCTGCCTGTGGCCTCCCCTGACTCCCCGGTGCCCGGCAGCCTCCCCTGCCCTGGCTGAGCCCTGCCCTTACCCCTGCTCAGCGCAGTCTTCTTCCCTTCCGTCCCAGGGGCTCTGTGATGTCACAGTGGTGGCCTTGTCCCCCCTCTGGCTCCTGAGTTCCATTGCCCAGGGCAGGGGAGGCTGCCAGCAGGGAATGAGAGAGGCTCTGGGACCACCAGAGTGGGTCATCTGAGGAGAGCAATAAACACATTACTGAACATTTTGATCAGAGACTATGGAAGAATCCTGATCAAAAGGGTAAAAAATACAGAACAGAAGTTCAAATTATCAGTGGAATTCAGACTTCTGTCTAGATCCACTAAGGCTGGGTGAGCCCCAAACTATGGCCCTGAGATAATCTTTCAACCTTCCACCTTCAACCAAACCTATCCCCTGAAGTCTTCTTTGAACCAAAAAGATAGCTTATCTGAATTCATAATGTGTGTCCACTTTGAGCATTGTGGTCATTTAAAGGATTAACCAACCAGGTGAGACCAGATTGACAACGATGACTTGAGAGGTTGAGTGGAAGCTTCGGGGCAGCCAGTGTATGTTTATGGTGGTGGAATAAGATGGAAACGGATAGGAGGACACAACACAGCATGGACAATATCACCAGTGTTACTGATTGTACATACAGACGGTGGAATGGAGTATCTCGGGGTTTACACACGCACAACACACACACACACGGAAGAGTTGGCAAAGTACGTCATTAGCTCCATATACCCATGGGGACTTCAGAGTCGCAGTGCTATCACACCCACTGTATAGAGGAGCTCTGATGGTGTAGTGCCTAAGGCATTTCACTGCTGACCAGAGGCTTGCAGTTCAAACCCACCAGCCACTCCTCAGAAGGAAGACTGGGCAAGCTACCTCCTTAGAGATAACGCCTTGGAAACCCCAGGAGAGGTCATTGCAGAGTTTGGTTTTGTGTTTATATAGAGGAGAACTTGAAGCCACCAACAGACACGCTCCCAGTCAAGACCACGCAGCCAGCCCGAGTGGTGCAGGGTCCTGATGGCCACTCTTGAGGCTAATTCTCACACTCCTCACCAGGCAGTAGCTGGCATGGGAGGAGGTGGGGACAGATTCAGACCTGAGAGTCCTCCCTGAGGAGTCCTGGGCTGGGGCCTGCTTCTTCACCTGAAACCAGCACCAGTCAGGAATGGGGGGGGGGTGGAAGGCGGGAATGAGTACCTGGTTTGTGAGTGTGTGTGCGTGAGATCGAGACCGAAGGGCGGAGAGACATGGATGAGAGAGAAGGAGGGCCCAGGGTTCTCACCCCATCTCCTGCCTCTCCCCTTCCTCCCTGGTGCTTTGATCTCTGCTGAAACCACCTCTCCTCTTAGGTGAGAGAGATTAGGCAGTTTCCTAGCCCTGTCTGGGGGAAGGTGTTGGAGCCTGCAGACAGGGGCGGGCCAGCAGATGGCAAGCCCCCCATGAGGATGGAATCTGGAGGGACTGAGGGCTCTGGCCTGCATAAGCCGATGGCGGTCCCCTTCCTGCTCAGAGACAGGACACAGGGCTGGAGGAGAGGAATGAGGCCAGCCCTGGAAACCCAGAACTGGACACGGGCCTCAGGCCGGAGCTCAGGGACATGGGTACGTCTCCTCCACTAACTGTGGTCACCACGGCCAACTATAGCAGATGCTGCTCAACCCACGCGGGTTGCAGTGGGCCGGCGAGGAGTGAGGAGGGGCAGCCAGTCGCCCAGCTGCGAGGTCAGAGGGTCTGACCCTGCTCACGCACACGCCGGAGCACAGGCACATCACACACACGTGTCCTGGCCACCTAAGCCGGGTGACAGGCTGCAGGACAGGGTGCGGGGCCACGGCACACGGGAGAGATGCAGCTCAGTGGTCGGCTGCCCTTGCACCCACCGGGATGACACAGAGAGAGACTTCAGCCTCTCCAGCGGTTTGGGCGGGGCCGCGGGTCCAAGGACAGCGAAACCACGCCCCCCGGCTCCGCAGGTGATGGGATGGGGGTGGGTCCGAGGGGGGAGCGACCCCCACCTCTTCCCTGTCCTCCACACCCACCTGCTGCTTCCCGGATGGAAGGAGAGCACTGTCCCGCAGGAAACCAGGACCCTCTAGTAACTTTTTTAAATCCCCGAAGTATAAAGAATGGGGAAACCAAACACCGCATCGGCCCTTCCCGGCGGCAGCCCGATCAGCGTTACAGCCCAGCCTCCCCGCCCCGCGCCGCAGCGCCTGGCCGGCCTTTAACTCTCTGCTCCTCATCCATCTCCACGGGAAGATGGGCTGCTGTGGGGAGGGGCCCCCGAGGTCTGATGGGGTGCCAGGGCGCTAGGCTCACATAGACTTCAGGGGACCCTGCTCCTGAGGGAGGGACATGGGGAGGTCCTTGTCTGCTGAAAGCCCAGGCAGGCGGGAGAAGAAGGAGTGGGACCAGAGGGAACAGAGTGGGGTGCAGGGCACCCTGAGGGAAGGGTAGCAGAGGAGGGAAGGGTAGCAGGGGTGGGCAGGGTGAGGAGACCACCGGAAACAGGGTCTAAGTGCGGGGCACCCCAAGGAAAGGCAGGGGTTGGACATAGTGGGTTAGACATAGTGGTTTTAGGACAAAGCTTGCACAGTCTGCTCTCCCAGCTGGGACAGGGGAGGCTTGTGGGCCCCACCCAGGCTCCCCCAGGGCAACCCCCTCCAGGAGAGGAAGGAAGAAGGACAACCAGAGGGAGCAGTCCCCGCTGGCCCCCCTCCCTGGCCTGACAGTGCCCTTGGCGGCCTCCTGGGCTCCTGCTGTGTGCGGCGCTGACCAGCAGCGCCCTCGCCCAGCCCCTCCGCCACCGCCTTTATGGGCAGGTGTTTCCTTGGTAGGTGCTTTTCCTGCTGGGCCTTATCAGGGCATCGACAGCCCCTGCCCGATTATCGCTCCCTCCATCTCCTTAGCCTGAGCGTCCCAGGGCTGAGAGGCAATTACACCCCCACGCACCCTAGCAGAAAAATACCCCATGCAGTGACCCTCCCTCCCCGCCCTGGGCAGGAGAAAGGCCCTTGTCTCAGGCACCCCCTCTCCCTCCCCGAGTTCATTATCCTCGGAGTTTGAGTCCTCTGCAGGTCGCTGCATCTGTCCACCTCAGGTTCTGAGGCCAGAGCTCTTTCTTACAGCAACAGCAGGGGGTGCCCCTGCTGCTGAAGCCCCCACAAGGAGGCACGTCCCCCTGTGTCCGCACTCAGGCCTCACTCTTCATGGTCAGAAGGTGCCCGAGGAGCAACATGGCTGAACTTCTAGGCTCCAGACCAGCTCCTGCTGCAGCACCCACAGTGCACGGCCAGGAGCCACACGCCCTCTGAGCTCCGATCTTCGTGTTTGGGAAATCAGAAGGGTGCTGACCCTCCTTCCATGTTTCCTGTGGGTCTACTGATGACTGCAGTCATATGCCTACCCCTCTTTGCAGAAGGCCAAGAAGACAAATATGTGCTAACCGCAGACTACTGAGGTGCTGCCTTGTCGGCACCCATTCCTCCTGCTTGCTCTGGGACGAATCCCAAACTTGGAAGTGAGCTCTCTTTGCCTCACCATTCAACATCTGTGCAAACCCTGGGCCCTCCCACTTCTTCCCTGACCTGTCACTCCAGCTGTGTGCCTCTCCAGGTGTGGGCTCCAGGAAGCTGCAAGGGAAAGAGGAATCACTATTGGGGTTCTCACAGAAAGGCACCTCTAGGGACCCTCCTTTGAGGCAGGACAGAGGTGACCACAGGGGAACAGGAGGCCCACAGAAGTATCTCCAGGGCCATTGAATTATCACCCTGATTTTACAGGCAGGGACAGAGAGCTGAGCTAACGCGCTGTAAGGGGTCAGAGCGAGGACCCAACCCAGGACCCCTGATCTTAAAGCCAGAAGTCTTCCTGCTCCCCACCCTGTCCACCACTGGCTTCTGGGATACCTCCCCTCCATCCTGTTGTTGTTGTTATGTGCCATCGAGTTGGACCTGACTCATAGCTACCCCTCCTTGGGTTTCCGAGGAAGTATCACTACAGAAGTAGATTGCCCCATCTTCCTTCCGAGGAGTGGCTGGTGGTTTGAACCACCAGCCTTCTGGTTAGCAGTCAAGTGCCTTAGGCACTATGCTACCAGAGCTCCCCCCTCCATCCTAGTCCCTTCCAAATTACTCTGCGTTAGCCCAGTGCCTGGAATTTGTCCCTTCCCCACTGCCCTCCCCTCCCTCAGGCCCAGCGCCGCCCCAGGCTCAGCTCTGCAGAGAGCTCCTCCTCTGCAGAAAAAACTCCTTTCCGGCTGGCTGTACCCTTAGAGCCTCCTTGCATCCACATAGGCTCTCTCTCACACACCTCAACTCACCGGTCACAGTGAGACCTCCTCACCACCAGCCCAACCGAGTCCTCCTTCTCCTGGGAGCCACGACCTACCAGGGCCTGGAGGGGCCATGAGGGTGCCCCCACCCAAGGCTAGGAGGCCCTGGGTCCGGCTCCAGAAGCTACTGACCTCTTGGTTCATCAGAGAAGACAGCTGGGAGCAGCATTTGGACAAGGCCCACATGCAGCAACAGAAGAGGTGGGCGACCCGCACCTCCCCCTGGCCCAGCCCCAGCCCCTGCCAGGCCCCAGCTGCAGGGGAGGGGCAGAGGACGGCCAAAGTGGTGGTCAGCCTCACGGGGAGGGGGCAACTGGGAGCAGTGGGGTATAGGCTAGAGGGTCCTGTGTGTCCCACGTGCCTTTAGCTGAAGCCTGTCTGTTGAATGGAAGTGAGGAATTGCCTTAGGATGAATGCAATTGGCTGGGTGGGAAGGGGAGCTGACCCTGGAGCTCTCACGGGGACCCACTATGAGGTGTGCACTTGGGGAACCCCCCTGAAGGCAGGCCTCCATGCGAGGTGTTTGAGGGACGTGGTCTTCCCTGAGAGCAGGCACTGCAGGTCAGGGTTCAGTTGGGCTGGTTCAGGGCGCAGGCTCTGTGACTCCAGGGCCCCCCTCAGAAGGACCTGGGGGTGGCCCGAGATCCGCCCTGGCCTGTGGACAAGGACTCGAGTCTTCCTGTCCCAGGGGCCTAGCTGTCAAGCTGCCCTGGGAGCAGCCTGAGCCCTCCTGCTGGGAGGCTGCCGCCTCATTGCTGCCCCAACCCCACGCCAGGAGGTGGGAACTTCGGCCTTTGACCTCACCACCTCCTCTGAGGGTGGGGTTTCAGGAGCCTCTGGTGTGTGTTGTCCCCTCAGGACAGGCCGTGGGCTCGGGTCTAGCCTGCTGCTCGCCCCTTGCCCTGGGGAGACAGCCCCCTGGGGAGACAGCCCCCAGACGGAGGAGCTGGGGGAGGGCAGGCGTCTAACAGCACACTGAAGGCACCCTTCCCTGATAACGGCGTGGGGGACCGGAGCAGGGAGGCCACGTGGGACTCTCCTCACTGCCTGTCCATCTGTCCGTCTGTCCGTCTGTCCTTTGCGCTTTCCCACACACCCTCAACCTTGGACCCTGTGTTGCCTGAGGAGCCCACTCCGGCTCCAGGGCCTGAGATCCGTTCAGCTTGGGCAGGAAGAAACAGCGCAGGCTGGTTGCAGAGCTCCTGTGGAGGGAAGACACCGCAGGCCGGTCAGGAGCGGCCCTGCAATCACACACGACGTGGGACCCTGAGTCCCTGGGTAAACACCAGGACCATCCGCACGCTGACCCGCGCCCACTGTCCCCCAGGATTCAGGAGTCCCCACTCCTTCACGCAGCCAAGGCCAACGACCTCTGTGCTCTGAAGGAGCATCTGCTGGATGGAGCCTGTGACCCCCGACAGAGAGGTGGGCCCAG